TTACTCCTGTACCATGGCGTTGTTTCTGTAGTGTGGATAACCAGATTGTATATCCATGTTCTGAGTCTTGTCATTTGTGATTTGAGGGGAGCCAGATTTCTATTATTCCTAGGATATCTATTTGCTGTGCTTGACAATATTCTATGAGTGATATCTGGTCTGTTTCATTGTTTATGCCTCTTATGTTTAATGTACCTATCTTTCATATCATATATCTATGTTTGTTTGACTATTTTCAGTTTTCTGCTGCTTGCAGTTTCTCAGATCCTTTGTTGTTTCAATCATAATTGTTTAGAAGGCAGGAGGGAATAGATGTTGTTGGATTGTCAGAACCACTTGGGGAGTTTAAGCACTCTATTACTTCTTTTATTGTTAATACCAATGTGAATTCCATTTGGCTTATTTGTTCATTTATCCTGTTTTGGATTTGTCTGATGTCTATATGTTTAGGAGATGATGTTATGAAAATTGAGGTTTCACTCATCTCTTCCTCCTCATCCTCTGAGATTGCTGGTTCCTTGGATTTTATGTCAGACCCAATCTTTACTGCCATGATTCTCCTTTCCAGGTTATAAATTTGGTGTTTAACAGAAAGCATATATATTTGAAGTTGTTTGAAGATGTTGAGGACTGTTTTCATTTTGTCTGGACCTCTGTTGATTCCTTTTGTGATACTGGCATATGTTCTATTAGGTACTGCTTAGTTTGGGGTCTCTGTATATTGTTGGTTCTCTTCTATGTGAGGGAGGGAATCTAGGTCTGCTGAGCCTATTGAGTTTTGGTCTGGGGGAAGTTGATTTTCTTTCTGGGGGCAGGAGTGTGTGTCGTACTCATATGCTCCACAGTTGTGTCGATTTGTCGATCTATTTAAAGTCATTGTTTTGAAGTTTGAAGATGATTTTTAGAGCTTGAATAAGCTCTTGTTAATTGGCGTAGTATATTATGGCGAAGCATTTGGTTTGGTTTTTGTAGTTCAGTAGAAGGTAACATACTTATTCATTGATTTGCTGAAAGATTTCTTTGAAGTCACCTGCTGTTGTGTCTTGTGGGAGGTTTGCCAAAGTAATACTAAGTTTGTTCCTTTTTTCTTTGATTTCATGGGTTCTAGTCATAGGGTATACCCTTATACAGCTAGTATTCTTATAGATTGACCATTTCTGGACTTGTTTTTCATGGTTGTCACTTGTTTTGAATTGTATGATGACTGATTGAACTGGACCTGCAGGTGCATAGTTATGTATTCTAGAGTTGATTAGTACTCAAAAAGTTCTGCTATGTTTGATTTGATGAAGGTTTTTGAGATGTCCCATATTCGGATAGACCTGGCTTGGCCTTCAGTTGTGCCGATCTGTGCTACTAATCTTGTTAAGATAATTTTATTTTCAGTGATTTTGATTGTGCAGACAGTTTGTGCTTCATTGTAGTTTCCAAATACAGCTGCGATCATAGTTGTGCCAATTGGTACTTCAATTCTTGTATGTTTCAGGATCTTTAGGTGTCCCTATTTGTTTTTGACAAAGAGAATTTTTTCCTTGTCATTGTTGTCCGATATTTCTTCTATGCTTAACAAAAATTTTCCTGATCTGACTGATGTCTGGGTTGGTTCTCTGTTTTGGCTTTCCTCTTGATTTCTGAAGCTGTATTCTTAGTTGAGAATGTTGTTATAGTTGTTGACAGGTATGTTTTGTGTGGTTTTCATAGCCATTATTAGTTCTGCTATGGTCGGGAAGGTTGTTCTCATTCCTCTGTCTTGTTCTAGAGTTTTCATTTGGTTCATCAGTTTCTCTTTCTCCAGATTCTCACTTGTTGCTTCGTTTTGTTCTTTAGTAGTCTCCATTGTTATATCCATTTCCTTGGAGGGTTCTATATCTTGGTTATTTCATTTTTGGTCATTGCTTGGTTGGGTCTTGGTTTTCTTTACTACTGACTTGGGGTTGAGCTTCCCTACCAGTCTTGTTTTCAAAGTTGATTTAATGATTGTTTCACTACTCGGTAATGAGTCGTTCACCTGTATAGCTGACTGATGGGTCTCTTGCCCTTGCTGACTTTCTCAATATGTTTGTTGGAGGGGCTCTTAGCGAGCATTTTGTTTTTTCTTCTATATTTTGTATTGTTACTATAAAGGAAATTTTCAAGAATTTGGGTGCGAGTTGGAAAGAGTTTTTTTTTTTTTTTTTGATGCATAGTGATATATAGTATTAAAAACCAAAGAAGTCAAACAAAGTTTGAATTTTTGTCATGGTCATGTGACCAACGATCATGATGCAATTGAAGCTTATGTGAAACAATCAATTGCTGACTATCACCATATCCTTTGTAAGCTAGAAAAATGTACAAACAATTTATTTGCGTCAAAAAGGTAAAAAACTATAAGCTGAGGTAATAGAAAATTAGCTGACCAAGAAGCAATTTATATATGACATAATACTAGAATAGCCATAGTGATTATGTAATAGCCCTATATGTAAAAATATATAAATGTAACTTCTTTCAATTACTTAATAAAATAACGAATCTCAGGACTAATCTTAAGACAAATCTCAGGACTAATCTTAAGATGAATCTCATGATGAATCTTCTGGATAGATTGTTATAATAGTGAAGTTATAAGTAGTTTTAGGGAAAACTATTTTGAGACTCGCCCAAATCTTTTTACACCTCTACCTTAATTTTAGTATTGTTTTGTGTGTGTGATAGAAGGACAGACTCTTCTATCTGCAGGTTATCAAGCTTTTGGTCATTAGTGACAGACTCGTCAATTAGCTTGCTAAAATAGTCATATATTATATAATTATATGTATAAGTTTTTTTTTTTTTTGAATGCTGGCTTAACCTTACTTTATTTGGATTAAGTAGAAATGTACATATTATTTATGCTAGAACTATCTATGTTAACTAAACTAGTTCAATAGAAAAAAACTCATCTCACAGCCTATTGCCACCCAATGGGAGCTAACCAGTCAAGGTTGGGCTAGTGCTATATAAAATTGTGAAAATGTGGAAGGGGTATATAATATTTCTATATATTATTTTATATAATTGTTTACCAAGTTGATATATTGAACTTTTATGTATCTATCTAGTGTATTGAGCTGTATGTTTTTCTCAGAAGTGCTATATCTGACTGTTCTTTCGATTTTCTGTGTTATGTCTTACTGTTTTTTCTATTTCTAGAATTTTTCGCATCTTTGAGTCCAGATGTTGTAGAGGTATTCTCTGGTCTCTTGTTTAATTTCTTTTATGCATGTTTGTTTTAATTAAGTTTTTGTTATACATTTAGCTATTAAGTTATATGTTTCATTGAGTATAACTTCTTTGATAGTACATTTGAAATATTTAATATACTTCAAGGAATTATTTCTTATATAGTTATTGATTTTTTCTTCAGTATCTTTTCTCTCATTATACTGTCTAACCTTGTTAATGATTGTATTTTTTATGTGTTCTTCTGTCTTTTGTCGTTGACTTTAACACATGAATGGATGTGTTTTGTCTCTTTGGATCTACAGATTGTGTATTTGTCATCTTTATATAGGTTAGGAAGTCTCTGATGCAATTTGATTTTTGTTAGAAGTTCTTCATTCTATAGGCAAAGATTGAATTTTCTTTGTTGTTGATCTCTTTTATTGGTTTGTTGTTTGAACATTTTTATTGGTTGCTGATTTACATTGTTGAAGGTCAATGTATATGTTTGATGATTCGGTCACTGAATTCAATTCTTGTTCTGTTCAATAGTCTCCATCTAGTCAGATATATTGCCTTTGTCAATTCTTTGACCATGGTTTTGATAGGGATTTCGAGCATGTTGTTGTCCCATTGTGGAAGTAATATAAATTGTGAGTTTTTTGTGATGTGGATACAAGTTGTTTTGTGTCTTGATACCATATCCAGATTTATATCTATGTTAGCTAATCTGTCTCTTGTTCATTGTATTTGTTATCTATATGAGCTTTAACTTTAATGAGATCAATCTTCAGGTAGTTACCTATAATAATGTATTTAAGTAGTTGAAAGATCCCTAGGTTTTTTTGTTTCCTCAAATTGTATATATGGTTTGTCCTCATCACTTTTTGGATACTGTTGATTGCTACCTGACTGTCTGTGTGAATGTTGACTCTGCTGTACGAGGGTAGTATACTGATTGCTGTTAGGATAGCCATCAGTTCTGCTCAAGTTGATGAAGAGAAGTTTTCTATTTGTCCTTGCAATCAATGTCCTTGATTCTCCCTGGTTATTATTATCTATCCAAAGCCCATATAATACTGGTTGCCATAGTGTGATATAGATCCATTGTGTATATCTCAAAATTGATTTTATCTTGTATTTACCTTGTAATTGTAGTTAATTCCTCTAAGATAGGAGGTGTTATGATCAGTATTTTTTTGATTTGTTCTATTGTCTTGTTTTCTGCAGGTATTTGCACTTCTATATTGTGATTTACTGGTCTGTATTCCTGTTCTATGATAATTATATGTATAAGTATTTAGAAGAAATAAAAATAATGTATAAATATTGAAATCAAGAAACTTATCTATTTCTGAATATCTAAATTAATATAAAATAATATTTTTTTAAATATAAAAAGAAATTTTACAAAAAAAAAAATCTCTCACTTACATCAAAACTACCAAATTAGAAAACACTCAAGAAAAACAAAAATTTTGTCTAAAGAAAAAACCAAAGGGAAGGGGAGCTCTTTTCAAAGCCTCCCAACATTAATGCCCAACATACCTTGCTAGACATGGTCTTGACTGATAAAAGAAGGAACCCCAAAGTCTACATTATTTACAAAAACAACAAAACGTCACAAATCTATATTACCAAATTAGCAAATGAAATTTATGTCCCATCTCTTAACAACCACCCTAGCTCTTGGCTTATTCCTATCACAATAAAGCATACCAAATTAACAGTAGAGTCCATCGAAGTTGTCCAAGTAAAGTTTGAAGTCACAAAACAGCTTCTCAAATCCCAACTCAAAGCAACTACCTTACTTTTAGATTCCAAGTCTTTAGAGACACTAAACAAAATTTACTGACCATCAAACAGATTTTAAACTGGACACTAATGAAGAAAGCGTACCATCAAAAAGGTGATAAAGAATACCTTGAACTATGTCCTACACCTTTCATGAAATGGAGTTGTAATTCTTGTCAAAGAATTCTCCCAAACCTTCAAAATCCTAAAATTTGATTCCCTTAGACCCTCTCTAAATACTCCAGTCCCAAATGAGAAAATAAGCAGTGACAATGAAATGCAGATTGATTGTTTCACTGAAACCATGTAGCAAAGTCCCCTGTATGCAACAAAGATCATTCCAGTTCTCAAGCAACAACTGCAACACATGTCACAGGTCATACCAACCCTTATACACTAAATGTAACATATGAAATAGATCACACCAGTCCACCCAAGTACCATGCTAGTTCTGATAGCATATGCCCTGCACCACAATTATCCACAAGTGAAGCAATCACATCATCGTTTATAGGTACAAACAGTACAAATACAGAAGTGGATAACAATTTTACTCCACTCCAATCAAATTCATCCCAATTTCAGTTGATATCCTCATGGGCAGACAAAGCAATTGAAGAAGCTGAAACTGACCTTCATTCCCCTCAACTATAAACAATGATATCAGAGATATTAATCCAGAAGCCAAACAAGTAAAGCTAATTGAACTGTGTAGTGATCTTGATAATTGTAAGCACACCCCCAAAGCTATTGTCAACAGTTCCTGAAATTAAAAGAAGAAAGCAACCCAGGCCTAAAGCCAACATCAATTCCATTTTATAAGGATATAAATAATTATATAATATATTTATTTGTTATTAATTCATTTCATCCCTAAGAGTAATTATGATTTTTGAAATTTTTGTTTGATCAGAATTTTCTAATAGTCTTTTCTATTCAAACTATTATATCGGTCTCTGAGAATTTTAACTAAAATATCTTTTTTGTATTCAATAATTCTTTGAAAATCCATTTACAGTATATATCTTGAGTGTAGTCTTATTTTATGCCCTTAATTATATAATTTGTAATTTAATAGGTTAACTTTGATATCATTGATGTGAAAAAAGTATTTAATAGTATTGATAATATATTGTAATGCTGCTTTGTTATTTACAATCCAAGTGATATTATTCATGTGTGTACTGGCTATTATTATAGATTTAAAGACTAGTCTTGATTCAATAGCCTATAGTATTTATTATCAAAAGGTACTCTTTGTATTATTGCTGATTATAATAAAAAGTAGATTATAGAAAATTCACTATAAAAGAAAGGATATGATATTATCTTGCTTTATATTATCCATTATAATATATGGAACTATTGGGTTATAGCATATAAATATAATGTTATTACTATTTACAAAGATATAATCTAAGATCTTTATGAGTTTATTTGAAATTTTTATCTGGTATAATACTTTTTTTAGCATTTCAATATTTACCAAATTATAAACTTTGGACATGTCTTGACTTAGGATACATGCTTTTTTACTTATTTATTTGATGTATTCAATAATATTGCTTAGAATATGTATTAAATCTTGTATACTGTTTTTAGGCAAGGCTACACAATTTAATTTAAGCAAAAATTTAATAGTCATTAAAAACTTTGACTAATAGTTAATTATAATTTTGTTGAAAATTTTTCTTCCTATATCTTTTTTTTTTTTTAATTTATTTTTAAAGTTGGCAAAGTCATGCCGTGTAGTTTTTATTTAATCAAGTTGCTTTTTCTGTATACTGTTAAAGGCCAAAGAAGTCAAACAAAGTTCAGAATTTTCGCCGTGGTCACGTGACCGACGATCGTGACGCGATCGAAGCTTACGTATTCTGAGATAGAATAAAGAACAAAGGTAATTCTGGTTATTTTAAAAGAAAAGTTGTCATTTAAATCACTTGGTGATAAGAATAAAATTCATAAATTGGAAGAAAGCATAAAAAATAATTTATTATAATTATTTTAGCAATTTAGTAAAAGGCAGTACCTAGTCTCACACTCTGGTAAAAGTTTAATTATCAGTGAACCTAATAGTACAAGCGCTAGGAGTAAGCTAGATCATAAATGATTCATTCTATAGAATGATGCATAGAATAATGGAAAAATTTGGATTTTGTGCTATTAAATGTATTGTCACGGGCCTGCCAGCGAGTCTGTCGAAAATCCCTAACGGCTCGCGAACCTGAGTTAAGTCACAGGGATGTGCGCAATGTCTAACCTCGTATAGACAAGTCTAGCACCACGAAGGGGCAAAGGCTTGAGGTGTATATTTGACAGAGTCGATGGCAGGTAATATTCCTTTCCTCTCATTTTTCTTCTTCGCAAAATACTTATTTTTATTTGTGTATTATCAACCTTTTATTTTTCCTCTCTTCTTTTCTCTTGTGCTAAAATCTCCCTTTTACTATTGCGCACATGCCCTATATTGATATATTATTACCCTAACAATGGCTAACAATCTAGTACTTACGGTTTATACTATCTAACAGTATCTACCATACTTAATATAAGCCATCTAAACTCTACCCCACAAACTCGCGATACTTTTCATATCTTCCATTGCTCCCTTGATTGTACGCGTAACTGGATTGTTTGCGACATGTAGATCGCGTGAATCACGTGACCCAAATAGTACGTACGTACATTAGATGAACTCAATAATAAATTACTAGCATTTTATCAATCGTTAAAGTAACACCAATGTACTGAAGTTATCTGGAAACTTGCTTAATAAATATGCGTGATTTGCACATCTATTCGTGTTAGATTCGTTTAAGAATTGTGGTTTCTAAAATAAGTCGCAAAAACGAAAGTTTGAAGAAAGTTTGGAATTTGAATAATCGAATAATTTTCATAGTATTCTGGCCTTGGTTCAGTATAAAATATGTGGAGAATAATTCAGAAGAATAGAAAGTCACGAATAGTATACAAATAGGAGAAAGCTTATTGATTTGTGGATTAATAATTTAAAAGAACACGACGCAAAAATAGCATCATTTCGATAAAAAAGAAATTATTATCATTAAAAGATGTTTTCGATGGTCAGTATAGCATAAAAAATAGCATAACAAAATGATATTTTGATTCACTAATGCACCCTTCAACTTATGAATTGTGCACCTATATCTAGTTCATGTCATTGGCGAAGAAATAGAATTATTAAGCACATTTTTGAAAATGTTGACATTGAGTTCATTTGAGTGTATTTTGCAAATTTTAATTGTATTAAAATCAAATATTTGTAATAATTGATTGTGTTTTTTTTTTTTTTTTTTGTAGTTGTTGGGATCAATTTTGGATGTTTTCAATAGATTATATTATAGAATAATCGTTGTTTTGAAATATAAACAATAATTTATTTAGTTTAATTGTGATAAAAATAGTTACTATTTTTAAGAAATATTTATAAAATACAGCATGAATCTTTATTAAAATATTTAAAATTTTTCAATTTTATAATTGCATATTTTAACTATAATAAATAAATTTTATTAGATTATTTGAATGTATAGAATTTATTAATTCTATTAAAAAATAAAATATTTATTTTTATCTTATTTATTAACAATTATTTTTTAAAGTGACAAAAATTCTAAATATAATTTTTAAGTCCTATATTAATATTGAAATAAAATTAAGTATAGAATCAGAAACCCCTGTTCGCCTTCAAATATAAACAAACATATATTAATTTAAACATTCTTGTTGTTAATATCCAGTTATTAAAAATTCTTAGAAATAATTTTTAAATAAATCTTGCCTTATAGAAACATAATTAATAATCAATAATTTTTTTTTGAGTTTTTACAAGTTATTTTGTTATTTGTAATTTAATTTGATCAAAATTTTTTATTAACTAAATAGATCTTTTATATCAATCAAACGATTAAATTGCTTGAGTATACCAAAGACCTTGTGTCAGTAATCAAGATTGTCTTTCCGACCTTTTGTAATCTAATTGTCTGTAATTATTTTAAAAATTTTCGAGTATTTTTTGTTATCCTGATGAAATTTTCTTTAATTAATTCATTTTTATTATCAAATTTCAATAAATGTGATTTTATTAAGGATTAATCGTATTGCATTAGTAAGATTGAGTATATTTCTGAGATTTCATTTATCATTTTCGAATACTTTTCGGACCTAAATATGCGTACCATATCTCTACGTCGTTTTGCAATCTTTGAATTTGAAATAAGAAAAAAAAGAATTAAGCCAGTTAACTAAAAGTTCCGGACAAACATACGTTTATTATTAGACAACTAGATAGCATAGATTGATGAGTATATTATGTGCAGCCATAATGCAGTAGGTTATTACTTAAATTTTTATTTCGCATAGAAAAGGCTATGATTTCTAGATTAAGTTTTATTATTCCTCAGAAAATGAATTACCAAGAGATTTGATATGAACACATCCTAATATGCACGGTCGTGTCTTCCGATTTTTATGACTCATAAGAAATTGGGTAGTACGTGACATGTGAACGTATTGCTACGTTTATCATATAACAGGTTCGTAGTGACCCTTTGTTAGTGAACACAGCATTGACCACTGCATCTTAAAAAGTAGTGGCCACGCTTTTTTATAAGCTTTTAGATTTTTCTTTATTATTTATCCACGAAAAACATTTACCAGTCATTAGATAAATGAATTACTAAAAAATTCAATTTATTCTTTTCCTCTTTGTATATTCTTTTTTGGGCTGGCAAGAAGGCACACAACAATGCCAGTCCCTTAATATGACAAGATGGAAAGTAAAAAAACGAAGGAAATGCGTTGCGTATCGGACGTTTGAATAAGAATATATTGTATCGAATGAAACGCATATTACTGTACGCATTTTACCCCGTGTTGTACGCACACATGTAATGCATTTTAGTATTTGCTAAATTACTATTGTTCAAGTTAAAATGTTATTGTAGTTTTTTTTAATATGCTGCATATAAAATATGCTTGATAATATAATTTTACAGATATCTTTAATATAATGAAAAATAAAATCAATGTATAATTATTTATGACATGTTGGTTTATTCTTGCAGCTCACTTTAAAATCAAAAGGTTCTATTACGTATACTAATTAATCAATATATGTAGATCTCTTTATGAGAACATAAACACATAATATTGAAAGATTTGACATATTAGAAAAAAAAATTTTACACTGTCACGGCAGGTTGCAGTTCTCCTTGGTTGTAAGCATTCTTAGTAACAATTAAATGGAAATAATTACATTCATAAAATAAATTAATGTATATACGTATATATTTTTAAGAATACACATACTATCAAGCAACCTGTCATCTATACATGTACATATGAATTCATCAGAAATCATTATTCTAAATATCAATATAATATATCAAAGTTTACCTTACTCACATCACTGCATAGCATTCAGCTGTCAAAATCACGTATTTTCAGTATTTGGCATGATCAATACTCAAAATTTAGTTAGTGTAGCAAAGAATGATCTGTACTTCGGCAATACATATGAATGTAATTTTAACTTACAATTCCAGATATAACAATGATTATTTCTTTTTATATCGAAGCAACATATTTCATTTATTAAACGGTCAAATAACAGCTTATTTGTGTACCAAATT